TTTTCCTTTTCTTAAGCGTCACCCCCACTTCGGTTGATCTCAGCGGAGGAGAAGGGCCTTTACGGTCTGGGTCATAAAGGCCCATCACCCGATACAATGGGCTTTCGTCTACCCTTTGTTACGCACTAATAGAGGTCGGGAGCACGACTTGCTCTCAGAGCAGAGTTTGCCCAGCCCTGGTATAGAATCTATACATCAGAGGTGGGCAACCTCAGGTAGGCTCGGAGCTGTAGCCATAAAATTATTGAGGTTTTAATTATAAGGGACGTAACGTGATTACAAGGATTATCGAATATTTGAGTGCTGGGGGTAACATCGAGCGATAGCGCATGCGCGTGATTGAAATGTGAGGGCAAAATGGTTTGAATTTGTATACACGTGTTTGGACATTTTCTTTTTGATTTAAAAAAAATGAAATTAAAAGATGATGGTTTAGAATCCCACTTCCATTTCCACCGATGAACATTGAATCTAAACTTTAGATTCAATGTTCATCGGTGGAAATGAAAGTGGGATGCTCGTGAACTTGAGAAAGAAATATTTCATCGTCAATTAAAGATTGAAGCACCGATAATTTTTTTAATTGTGAGAAATTGATTCACTTTAATTTGGCATCAAGAGCGGGAAATATAGAAATGAAAAGTTTGAAAATGCATATTTAGTCAGGTCTATTAACAACATGGTAATATTTAGAAATTGTTTTCCAAACAATATTTCAATTATAATTTCAAAATTACTTCAAGAAATCTATGAAAGGTACGAAATCTTTTTTTATAAAGATGATTAAAAGCAATCAATAACCAATCAAAAGGATAACAACAAAAAAACAATAATTGAAAAATATTTCCATTAGAGAAATAAAAAATTTTTCTATTTCACTTTTCCCACCACCAAGTTTCTGCCGACTATCCCCACTACTTTTGCCTACGCGCAAGGGCACCATGGGCCCGAAGGGGGTGTGGCTATAAACTTCATGGCTTGAGATAATTTTGCCTAACGGAGGTCGGGAGCTGGAGTAGCTAGCAGTTCGTATTAGCCGACAAAAAATTATTTTTAAATAAATGAACCTAGGGAATCGTTTGTAATTCGTTAGCAGGTCATTGTACAATATTTTTTAACGTTCAAGAGTTGATCAATCATCTTTAATTAGTTACTCAAAATAATGCATGTAATTAGCCGACAAATTTTTAAAATTTAACTGTTTTCATTTTTTTCCCAATTGGTTACAAATCGTTTGTAGAATACAAATTCACAATTATAATTGTGCAAGAGTCATTCGATCATGTATTTTCAATCATTTACGATTACACTCATGTGTCCAATCCCCCACTCTGCTCCCTCCACCATTTGTTCATGAGAGCAAGATTGTTTACCTTACACTCAGGTTGTGCATCGACAAAAATAATGATTTTATTAGTAAAATTCATTTGAATAAATTACGGGTGGGATAGACCGTAAATCTGAAGGAGTAGTTCATCTTCAGGGTTGCGGTGAGGGTTCCGCAAACTTCAGGGTTGTAGTGAGTGTTCCACGACTTACTTAGGAAATCAGATAATTTGTTAAATTGGGAAAAAATGGAGTAATAATGATTTTTCCTCAAAATTCAACAAAAAGGAGGACACAGGATAGTACAATTTATATTAAGACCAGGTAGGTGTAAGTGCATTCATATGAAGTAGTTGATTATTTTCCCATGAAAGGTAGTAGAACATGAATTCGCGATTTTTAATGTCCAAGAGTTAATATTGTCTCATAATAATTAACTTTCCGAAGCCATATGATGCATAAACCACATGGGAAAAAACTCACATGTTCATTGGCTTTCTCACGTTACGGAATTTACAATAAACCAGAATTCAACTAACACAAATAATTGATGAACATTTGCTCTCCCACGCATGAACACATGCAGACCACTTTGAAACTGGCCAGTTTCCTCCATCTTCTTCCGAAGTATGAAATGACTTAGCCAAGGAATGCAATGGCAATTAGAGTCGTATTTCTTGGTTGGTAAATGTGTCATCAGTGCTCAAGGAGAGGGGAATTGATCAAACTGACTTTCCTAAGAAGAACAAACAGAAAGAATCATTTCAAGATAGTGATCTTTCATTCTGTGTGTCTAATTATGAGCAGAAAGAGAATGAATCACGGTTCAACTTAGTTCTGACAAAAGAGCAGTGGGATCGGACCAAACCTGTAGATTCCGATTCCAATAAAGTTTGAAGGACAAATCATACTTTATATGCAAATGTTTGGACGAGTGACATTGCTGATGAGTTCTATAAACAATATCAGTTACCTTGTGCTGACTCCTTTCGTAGAGGGGAAATCAACACATCATCACGAAAATTACATTATTTAAAGATTGAAGAATATTGCAGAGCGAAAGATGTGGAAATTTGTTTCATGGCTACTTGGAGGAGGAGCCATCTTTGAGTGATGAACGAATAATCATTCGTATAATAACTCGCAACACCTCGGGTGAAGTTCACGCGAATGTTCGTCGGTACTTGAATGGAAAGAAAAGAAAAGAGTTTGGGAAACAGAGTCATGCTGAAGGAGAATCAAATATGATTAAGAGATTGAAAAGGGAAAACATGGATCGAGGTGATGAAGAGGGCCCAATTATTCCTAAAGGTGATGTGCTCCGTTGTATAAAATACGAGCACATCAACAGGGAGTTAGGAATAAAAAAGACTGATGATGATTTCATCCAGAAGATTTATCAGTTGCAGTTTGAGAAGCCTTTCATCGGATCCATAGCTGCTGTTGGATACAATCCATTTTACACTTTCTATGGGTTGCCATTGCAAATGGCGGAGGGACCAGAGTGGGGGATTGCACACGTGAGCGTAATCATAAAGGATTGAAAATATATGATAGAATGACTCTTAAACAATTATAATCATAAATTTGTATTCTACAAACAATTTGTAATCGATTGGAAAAAAAATTGAAAATAGTGACTTTTTAAAAATTTGTCGGCTAATTAAATAATGCATTATTCTGATTAATTAATTAAAGATGATAGATCAACTCTGGAACGTTAAAAAATATTGTACAATAACCTGCTAATGAATTACAAATGATTTCCTAAGTTCATTTATTTAAAAATAATTTTTTGTTGGCTAATACAATACCGCTGGAGTAGCGCCCAGAGCTGAGGTTGCCCACCTCTGCTATAACCGAACTAGAATCGAAATTTCATATTTCAGCTCCAGCAATGTACTTTTCTCATTATCTGTGAAATCGCCTGATTTCCTCCTAATTTTTAGTGATTGTCGATAATTTGATGACATGTGTCGAGAAAAAAATTCGGACCTATCAGCTTAAAATTTTATCCAAAGAAACTAAACATTCCATTCATTTTACTATAATGTTACGTCCCTACTATATGCCCTACGATGGCGGTAGCAATTTTTTCTACCTTATTTTATCGACTGTCGAGCCTTACCGACACTTAGTACATAAGTCCCAAAATTAGGAAATATCTTATTTTTATTTTCACCAATTACTAAAATTATCAAAAACCGTTATTTTAGATGTTCGAAACTTCAAAGATATTTTTTCGTGGGAAAAGCATAAAACTGCTTTTCCCACACTCAAGACCAGATTTTAAATGAAATTATGCACACGTGCATAATAAATATTCCAGAAACGAAAAACAGAATTTCCCTTTTACACCCGTACATCGTAAAAATCCCCGAAAACCATTAAAAAACCAGATAATTTTCAAATTTCTAAAAAAGTTATTGGAACACGGAGAAGCCCGGAAATCCTAAAGTACTATAAATTTTAAAGAAACCCTCTCGAATCTCAACAATCCATGGGATCAGAATGTTCCCCAAAGATAAAAACGCAGCTGCATTTTAATCACCAAAACTCCAATCACAATCCTCCAACTCGACGGCTGAGTCAAAGTGAACCGTCTCGCCTTCCTACCACCTCCTATCAGCCAATTCTATCCTCTAACTCAGGGTGCGCACGCCCCCGCGAGTCTCCCGCAGCATTTTCCTCATACGTAGATTCAACCCTATAAAACTTGCTCCTAAAAGTCCCAAAACACACACTTCCATTTCGACTTCCACGTCCATTACTTCATTTTTCTAATTCAATTCCAACTCTGACTCAACTCCGAAGATTCAGTAATCTTCTCTTCAAATTTCAAGTGAATATATTTTACTAAATGTAAATCAAAGAATTTCTTTAATTCAAAGTGTTCATAAACATCTATAATAATAAATCGCGCTTTGTATAAGTTATTTTAACAAGACTGTGAAACCAAGTGTAATTAAGTGAAGTTTAAATCCGAATAAAACTGTTAAAAATCTAGTTACACAAACTCGTGTCTTAATTGATCAGCCACGCATAGTGGCCTTGATTAGTGGAACCTACCTAAGGAATATAGCTATCCTCTGACAACCGGAGTTATCTCTCATAGGTGTCAATTTACCACAATCCAAACTTCTCAACATCTATAGGGACGTAACAATAACTAGAATTTGTGTAGAGAATTTCTCTTCGTATGATATATACAATTTCATGGCTCATTACCTAAAAATTCAAATTGAACTCAACAAAATGTAAATCGAAAATTGCATTAATAAATTTTTTAATTTTAAAATGATTTCAACTTCAAGAAATTTTATCGTCTACTCCGGCTTAACAAGACCGATATGTACTACAATTTAGAAAAAAATGACTGATTAAAAACGATTGAAAAAATAATCGTTGGAAAAATGTGATATCTACGAAAAATTACTACTACTACTACTAACTTATAAATTGCGTAACAAATTTTTTGTAGAACTATATTTGCTTTTTTCGTAAACTAAAATAAGATTTTCAAGCAGTTTAGGATTATCAATCGAATCTAAAGCTGTGAAGCTGAAAATATAAAATATATTTTTTAATTATGCGAAAACCTGTAGTCAAATGAGGCTTCGAGGTTTTATGTGTAGGCTACCAAGGTACAAAATAATTTGAACAAAGGAAAAACGTCCAACGATCGCATACACGATCCGTAACAAATGGAATTTTGTAGATAGACACTAGTTAATCTGGAACAAGTTATCTTTATTTGCATATGAAAACACGAAAAAATCGAATGATTCGTATAAACGAATTGACAATTCAAATTTCTAGGCGTATTCTCAATAATGGATGTCTCTTTAAAAATAGAAAAAAAAAACCTCAATGAACAATGCATTGGCCACATTAAATCTATGGAAGTATCAATTTTTCTATTCTTCCTAATTTCTCTAATTTGTCTCCAGACCTCTGGTACTTCGTTGCTTCAACTTTTCAGAGTGTCAATGAGAAATTCACTTAATACCGATAAAATTCAATTTTTAAACAGCCTATTACATATCATGAAAATTAGTCTAATTGACTTATGCTAGTCAATATCTAATCAACGCAAAAATCAAAGTTCCAACCAAAACTTCAATCATCGATCAATAAAAAGTAATAAATGAAATCCTCTGTATTATTTGACCGATTAACTCCACTAAACGATTCATAATAATGTCTCTTATAAAACAAAAAAATACTAATCGTAATCCTCTAGCAAAGATTATTCTTTAGGTCGTACAAATGAAAACCATATTGACATCTACTATTCAAATCAATCACAATGGTCTCTCATTTAATTGTTGAATTAACCATTGAAATTTTCAAAAAATAATGAATAATGCCCACTGCAGTATGCACTCTTTGACATCAATAAAATTGAATTATTATAATCCCTTCATTTAATTCACATCAATTTTTCTGAAATCCCCAAGACTAATCTCAGTATTCTCAGTCATCAAATTTTTCGAATAAAAAGCATATTCACTGCTATCACTCTTCAGGAACTTAAAAATACTCTCATTATGAAATAATGCAAAGTTTCAGAATATTTATAAGGAATTCGTGGAGTTCAGAACGCTCTGTCCATCAAATACGCCCAAATTCTCAATAAAATCTATCAATCCTCCTGCAATTGTTCTTCGATTACCTCTCTGAAGACAATTCGATAGTCGTGCTGAGTCTCTCGATGCTCCTTAAAATCCTCATACTTAGTAAATGTTTCATTGCAGGAAGAACACTTGAACAAGCGATCCCGATGCTGGTTCTCGTGATCGAGGTAGTTCTCTAAGGATAAAAATATCTTAGCGCAGAATTTACAGGCAAAAGCATTTCTTATCCCGAAGATATCCAAAATCCTTTCCCTCTTCTCCTGTTCACTAATTTCGAATTTTCCAGTCCAACAATTGCTGTTTGAATGCTGTTCACTCCTGTGTGCATTTAGACTGGAGACATAGGCGAATCCTTTCCAGCAGAATTCGCAAGTGTAGGCATATCTGATGTATACGTCCTCAGCTGACTTGTTAGCGTCATAATTTTGAACTGGATGGATAGCACACTTTATCACGTAGTGCAACAGCGCAGTCGATTTGAGGGAAAAGACTCGGTGACAAGTGCTGCACTTGTAAGCTTGACTTAAAACCTGGGATTCTCGCTTGTGAATCGATAGCACGTGGTTCGCGAAGATGGACTCCTTGGGAAATTCGGTTGCGCAAAAGTTGCACCAGTAGAGGACAGGTTTTCGCAGCCTATGCCTGTTTTTGTGGAATTTTATGATGTCTTCGTCAGTCGAAGAGGCTGCACACGTGTTGCACTTGTACCTGAATGGAATTATGAAGAAATACGTTAATATGAAAAATATAATATGTCATATTCATGGAAAACCCCGAGGATAAGGTATCAAATCCCATCTCTAATTTCATATCGTAGTAAACAGCCTAACATTGAAGTTCCTAACTTTACTTAAATTGGCGTAATTATAACTTATAAGAAAAAATGTATAACTTAACAAAAGCACTCTAACCCTAACCCAGTCCATCCTACCATTTCTCAAAGATTGGCTCCTTCTTCTTCTTCTTGACAGCAGGCGCCCCGGTATCTTGCGAGAGAGGTCTCTTTTTACCATGAGACCCTCGCAGTTTGAGCTCTTCAAATGTTATAGAAGACCCTTCTTCTTCATCACTGGTAATCAGAGGCTGCCAGCAATTTAGATGAGCTGCGTCGCTCACAGACTCCTGACTGCAATTCTCATTCTCGCAATCTGCCGCAGTGGATGTGACTTGATCAGAATGGCCTGGAGGTTTAGAGTTTTCTTTCGACACGTAATTGTACTCTATCAAGTCGTCTTTAGGTGCAGCACCTGTTAGGAGAGCTTCAGTGGCCAGAGATGTCATCGCCAGGTCGTGAGTTTCCCTGAGACGTTGATCGCACTCTCCACAGATGATCTTCGGAAGGTCGTCGTTATTCTCAATCTTGATGGGAAGATAATACCGAATTTTTTCGAGGATACTGACCTCACCACTTTCATCTTCTCCTGGGAATATCGAGATGGGATTAGCAGTGCTCTTTCCACACACTCTGCAGAGGCTAGTGGAGTCCTCCGGGATCAAATCGAAGATGGAACTTAAATCCTGGGGGCAAATGGTCAGTTCAACATAATTCTCGCATTCCTCTGTCTTTGGAATATTGGGATCATCGAATTCATCATCTCGAGGCTGTGAGACTGTTAAGCTGCTGAGCTGCTGCGAGAGTTGATCAGGAACTGATTCTTCTACTCCTTCAGGGTCTTCCTTATTATTCTCAACCCTCTCCTGTTCTTCATCTTGTTTTTGCAATTTCTCCACATACTTTATGGAGTCCAGGAAATTCATGTGGTCAGTGCAGAGGAAGTACTGCTCGCAAATTCTCCTGTGGTCTGTTGGAACGTTTCCCACTAGCCCTGGAGAGCCCACACCCACAATCCAAGAGTTTATGTCTTCCGTGTCGATTAGGAATGGGTAAAGAGCTTTATGAGATGAGTCGAGCTTGCAGTCAGGAATAAAACAAGTCCGCACATTTTTCTCCATTTTTGGGGAGGCAGAAGTCATCAGAAAAGCAACTTAATGATCGAAAGAGACAAATTCTCTTTAAAGTCCCGTTCTACACGATGATTTGGACATAATTTGTTCAGTATCTCGTATTGTTCAAGACCTCATAGAGCTCGTTGAAAAATGTGGCTTAGTACTACTCTTCAGCTCCTGGAATTTCATTTAAAATTTTGGCAACCATTGAGCTTCAAAGACTTATTGATTTATCAATAAAGTGATTGATTATCACATGTGATATCACATATAGCATTGTGACAATCATTTAGCTTTTCATTCCAAACATCCAGCCACCCACCAGCAATCAAATTAAAAATCGAAGACAAGTGCAGAATAAACCGAATCAAATTTTACTTTATTGAATAATTAATTATATACCAACTTATGAGGACCTTGATCGCAGGACTTATCAGGGGGAGGGAATTATTCATAGTTTAAGCTTCAAGTATCGAATTTTTGTAAAATTTTTCGTTAATTGCGATAAAAATTGAAGTTTGATTGGTTCTACCATTCACTTGGAAACCTCCTGTATAAGTATTATGAAATACCTGAGGCAAACGTTTGCGGGTTTACAAGCCTGGAGCTGTTTGTAGATTGTCCTCCAAGAGAGAAGTTATCATTACCAACAGCTTGTCGAACAATTGTTATCCAAAATTAAGTAACAGAGGGAATCATCCACGAGTGACGAGGTTAATAGAGAATTTGTTGATTCTCTCCTGGAATATTAAACCTTGGGACTTTATTTATGCGCCTTTGCTTATTAGGGTTCTACCTATTCTACAATGTTACCTATAAATTGCGTGTAGTGTTTTTTTTAGAAAATAACGTATGATGCAGGATAATTCTCTTGGAACCTTTAGTGAAGTTGAAGAGGGAGCCACACTCACTTTCCAAATTTCTACAAGTGTTCCCTAAGTAATCAGTTATGTGACAGTGCAGTTCCCCATTATCTTAACTAATAAAGCATCGAAAAACTCGTGATCTTTTGCGAAAATATTCCAATCATTCTTTGACTTTTTATTAAAAAATTGAGTGGCCACCGAGGACTCTGCTATTCAATGTTGGAACTGCTTTTGTGAAGGATTATCCAGTGTTCAGTCTTTTATGTAGACCAGCAATATTAAAACATGAAAGCCTCAAAGGGCCTCCATATACCTTCAGCGTATTGCAATTATATTGCAAGGAGTATTGCTATTATGGAGAAATATATTAGAAATGCTAATGACAGCCTATTAAGGTACTTCCTTAGTTTTTCCCTGATGGTTGGCACCCAGAGCTAACCCAGAGTGAACCCAGAGTGAATGAATATGTTTGAACGCTAATGTGCTAGCTCTGGGTAAAATTCAAAACCCAGACAGATGATTTTTATTCATTAACGAGGTAGCAATGTTGGCGAACAATTCTGGGGATAACTGTATGTTCAGAGCGACTACGGGAGGTCTATTAAAATAAGGGGAAGGGTGGCAACGATTGTTTGAGGGATGAAATGCCAACTCTGGGTCAACACTCGGTCACAGTCTCCATCCCAGAGTTGTCTTTCTCTTTATTTAATATCTTTTTAATATCGGGAAAAAAAATAGGGGTGGATATAAAGAATCATTTAACCATTTGAATGATTCTAGGGTCACCTAGACGTGCGGAGGCGACTTGGCATATATTTAAAGTGAAAAATATCAACTCTGGGTCAACACTGGATCACAGTCCCCAACCCAGAGTTGATATTTTCCACTTTAAATACAATCCAAGTCGCCTCCTCACGTCTAGGTGACCCTAGAATCATTCAAATGGTTAAATGATTCTTTATATTCACCCCTATTTTTTTCCCGATATTAAAAAGATATTAAATAAAGAGAAAGACAACTCTGGGATGGAGACTGTGACCGAGTGTTGACCCAGAGTTGGCATTTCATCCCTCAAACAATCGTTGCCACCCTTCCCCTTATTTTAATACACTTCCCGTGTTCGCTCTGAACATACAGTTATCCCCAGAATTGTTCAGCAACATTGCTACCTCGTTAATGAATAAAAATCATCTGTCTGGGTTTTGGATTTTACCCAGAGCTTGCACATTAGCGTTCAAACATATTCATTTAATTATCCACATCCTTCAACAATATCATTATATGCTTAAAATAACTCAGCAACAATCGGAAAAAGATCATAGTACACCCTGCGTTTAGTGTTTTTGCCCTGCGTTTTTGCCTAACCCAGACTGGGTTGCTGGACACAACCCAGAGTTGGACTCTGGGTATGAACCATCAGGGTTATATGGGAATAGAAATAATAATAAATAAGGAAATATGCTATGAACTCTAAACTTTGAGAATAAATATATTCTCTTAGTGATTAAAAATATTCCTCTGAAGGCCCAAAGCGCCTAACCTTGTAGATTGTTGGCAAAAAATGATTGAAAATACGTCAATAACACAGGGTCTTATGGGACTTCGTTTTCAAAAATCACTTAAAAATAATCGACAATAAAGAAAAAATCCAACTAGATCACCAGTAGAACCGTACGTATTTCAGGAATCTATCCCAACAATTGTATTATCCTTAACCACACGAATCATGAGTTATTATTAAAAATGTATCGGAGAGTCTGTGATTTTCGTTGCGTTAGTAGAAAATGGTGGTGAAACGTGGCAGCGTAGAAGGAGGTTAGAGCGCGCGAGGCGGCAGGAGAAGGGGAGCATCGTGTGAGCGGCCGATTCAAACTTGAGTTCTTCTCGGAGGTTATTTCCGCTAAGAAACATTCATTTAATAAGTTTTCTTATGTTTTTTAATGGAATTCATGGAAAACTCCAAACAATCGATTATATTCAAACAAACAATATATAAAATCACCAAATTTTTAATTGCAATAACAACAAATAAAAAAAATTATCTGTGACTATTTGTTTAAAATTATTCACAGCAAACCCACAAAATAATTCAGGAAGTACCTTGAGGCAGCGTCGATTTTTTTTAAATGCAAATACATTCATACATTTTTGCAAATGAGCCTGAAGTTTCCGGACAAAACTTCAAAATCAATAATTCAAAATCTAGCCATTTAATTTTATTGAAGGTACAAAATTTGAATCGTGGCTGGATATATAGAAATAATGATTGAACAGTATTTTATTACATAATTCACTCCGAACAGAATAAATATTGCATATCTTAGTTTATAACTAAATTTATTGAAAAAAAGTAGTGTCACGATTTCAATTTTGTGATATCTCCATGTGTGTTTTTTTTCATTTTTCTACTCTTATTGCTAAAGATTCAATTTACTGTCAAATCATTGATCTTTGTCGAATTTTGCCCGGCGTATAACAACCCCAATTCAAAAAATTGAAAATGTCACGTTTAGAGGAGTGAAAAATCTTCTCATGATCAATTTCATTCATAAATGCTCAGTTCATAAGTTATGCACTGTTATTACTTATTTTAAACAATTGATACAGAATATCTTCAAGAGAAATATATGAGCGAAGATGAAAATCAAATTAAACGATCTATTTTAATGAAATCTCAATGTGAGCATTCGAGTGGAAGATTTTCTATCAGTTGTCCCAGTGCTCTATTATTTCTATGTGTCCTTAGACATAATTTGGTACATATTTTTATCTAGAAGCTGGACTACTAACTCTAGTTACTCTATTATCACAATTACAGGTCAATGAATTTTATTGATTCATAATATTCATTTATGAAACCAGAATACTTAAGTGGTAAAGTGAATGATTAATTTAATATTTGTGGAAGTCGTTTATTTTCCAGGTGGCGACTGAATGAAAACCAGTTGATGGAGACATCGCTCGTAAATATGAATGATAAGAACGTAAGATGCCTCAGACATGAATACTCTGCCCATCTACTGTACTTGTTGCATTGGCCTCAAGTTGAGCAATTTGTCGCGGTCTCATTTCTTCTATAGTGCAAACGAGTGCTGATATCTTCAGAATTGAGGAGAATCCCTTCTCTGATTGTCCTGCGTTTTTCATCAGCATCGCCTGTGGTCATTCTAAAGAGATTTCCTGGGAGAATCTCTTCAATGTAATGTAGCACAAAGGTTCCACAATTATAACTGTCCGTTTGCTGTTGATGAGTTGGGACTTTCAGGGACCAGTTAATTTGTGATGTAGGAAATATCTATAAATAAATGATTGAAAATTTATATAATTGGAATATATACCGAAGTCATTTTCAAGTGCTCAAGATATTATTGCCTTTTTGTAACTATCAATGAAAGTGTTGAGTCTCGTTCTTTCATTTTTCTTCAGTTGGTTTCCAGATCAATGACATACAGGGTGGAATCAGTTACGTCAGCATAGAGTAACACCCAATGACAATTATTAACATTGTAAGGAAGGAAAATGTCTGATTTACCAACCAACAAATCACGATACCGAACATAAAAATCTGAGGGTAATGGTCTCTTGTTCATTGTCACTCCTGTGACAATATACTGACTTATCTCACAGGTAAGATATGCTACATCATGATTTCGTTGCGAGGACCACATCATCTTCGCTGCTCAGTAATCAATCACGGTGTCTGTGATCCATTTTCCATCGAATATGCAAATAAAATCGTCTGATATAACGTTGATGTTTGAAGAGCAATCGTTAGCTTCAATGAAGGCCGCAAAAAATAGCCGGGGTGGGTCGAGAAAATCTTAATATTCTGGGTTTAAAACTGTGTGATTATCATTGTATTCCGAAACGCGCTGCATCTGGACTTCTGCAATCTTCTTGATTCTATTGCCTTGCTGATAATTACTCTTCTTATGTTGGGCCGACCCACGTCTCCAATATTCCTGGGATTTCTCATTATTCGGTTCGTTTATTCTCTTTCCGGGACGTTTGGCAGAAACTTTTGGGGTTGGTAGATCCAACTCCTTATATACAGCTAGAACGTGGTTATGAGCTTTGGTGATGAATCACTAAATGTTTTTGTTTCGGAACCAATAGGGTTGACCAGAGGCACACGTACGGAAAAACATGTTTCCGTCCTCGCATGTCCACCGAATTCCTGTATTTTCCTCCAATATTTTTCCCAGTCCAGCAATAATCATAAACCAAACCTTTACTGTCGATGGCTCATATTTGGTGACCAAATGCATAGATTTTCATCAACCATTTTCTACTTTCTACGCGGCGACGGACATAACAATCCCCCCACTCTCTAGCAATCATTTGGTTTCACCACTTCGTCTACCTGCACACCACAATACCCTTTTTTTGTAGTAATTGGCCTAAACTAAGTATTTCTGGCTGACTTTATACTGATCTCTTAGCTTTTTTTCATATTTATCAGGTTCCACGACTGTATTCCGTGTATGATGATCGAGGTTCATATATTTTTCTTGGAATATATTTCATTAATATGAGAGGTTCATCTAAACTTTAGAAAATGGTGCACATCACGCAATGACAATTATGCGAATTGTGAGAGTTTGATCAATTGGGTCTATTGGTTTCCAAGATTAGAGAGGAAATGGAAAGCTGACGGAGAGTTCACGTTCTAATATATCTGTCGTCCAATTTTCAACTTTTCCACAGTTGATTTTGGAGTTTTCTGGTGCATATAGGTACTCTGACGCCACTCTCAACTCTTTTTGAGAGTGGATTGTTGAGTTTCGGGGTACATATAAGGGCTCAACTCTTTAAACAAGTTGAGATCTGCATTAGAGTCCTCATATGTGCCCTAAAATTTTACAATCAACTCTAAAAGAGTTCAGATGTACTGACAGTGCTTATAGGGACCCCGAAACTCGGCAATTAACTCTCAACAAAGTTGAAGATTGGTCGAGACATATCCTGTAACGTGAACTCTCACTCAACTTCCTATTTCTGCAAAATTTCTGTGTAATCTTGGAAACAAAGTACCTATTATTTAACTCTCTACGAAGTCGAACATGGCTTTCATATTGTTAACATTGAGCTTTAAGGGAGTAACTATAAATACAAACAGTGAAGTGATTAAACATAATAACAAACAGGCCAGTCCATGGTACTACTTTATACCTCATACCAAGCACGAGAATCTCCAGTAAACAGAAAAATTGTCTGCATTGAGCAGGCGCTGAAAACACGGCAAAAGCCTCTCACTAACTTACAATTGAATTACATTCTTTAATTGTTGTAAAAAATATATTGGAGAAGGATTCGTCAGTGTTTAGCTTCTTTAATAAAGATATATTATAGTATAGTTTTTCGAAAATGAAACATTTGTTCTTTACTCAATTCTAAAGCTTGTCGCCTTCACGGAATTTTGGAGCTAATATGGTACAGATCCAACAATAGATTTTTTTTTAAGCGTTCAAATTTTCTGATGCTGCATGTATTTTTTTGCTTAGGGCCCCCATCTCGTCTGAAAAAACGCAGTTCTCGAGAATGTTTCAAAAGAGGGAGCAAAAAATATGGGCTTTTGATTCCATTAATAATTAGTTGCAGCACGTGCATGAAGTTCAAAAGCTGCCTCATTATTAAAGGAAATTAATCCACTGTACATGTGACCATATTCTACTCCATAGAATTGAAGCAATGGAGCTGTAACCAATTTCTCCATATTTATTTCTACACCATTGCCATGGCCACCGGCGGTAATCTCTCGGTTAAGACCTTCAAGTTCTTTCCATTCTGTCCACCACCAAAGTAACGGCGAATGATATATTGGTATGGGAATACCATTCGAAATATAATGTCCTTTTCTCTCAATCAAGCATCTATAAGTGAAGATACCGGCCGTGCACTTACAAGCGTAAATATCTTTGGGTATACTCATGAAAAGCTGAGCTGTGCGGCTAAAATGAATATTATCAGGTATTGCTATGGTAATTTCTGTATTGTTCAATTTGGACACAGTTTTTAGAGAGGTTTGAATAGTTGTTATTCGACGACGTTGTCGATGCATTTTATCGGTCAAATGATCAGTAATGCGAATACGTTTATATATAGTTGTCGCCAAAGCCCCGTCAATAGAGCATCGAGACTCATTCTGGATTCTACTATCATCGAATATTCCTCTGTGCACGGGAATACCAAAATCCGAAAAACGGCACGTTCCTAGAGATGGATCAAAATAGCCATTTTGTATAGGAATTGTGGAATCATTGAGGGAGCTAGCACATGGGTCGAGCAAATGTTTGACGTGTACTGCTGTATGAATGCTTGGGTGAAAATTTTTGAGGCGAAGAAGACGATTAGAGTTCCACAGTACTAGACTCGTCCAATCGGCATACTCTTTATTTGCTTCCTGCACTGTCATTGGTTTGCAGGTGGGGACTTTTTCGTTTTCGTAAACTTTATTTATCTCGCCTTTACGGCAGATACACTCAATTTTTTCAACCGGCTTATTAATGTCTTTAACATGGCCATCACAAATTTGGGCGTCATCGCAAGCACCTAAGAGACTAGTTTTATTTACGTAACCTGGATTCTTACATTCACACATCATTAAGTATTCTGTTTCATTGGGACTAATTGAAATTAGCACCAAATTACCATGATAAATATTGCAATTAGCTTCTTTATTAATTGGTAAAAGATAGCCATCGTTTTTTGTCTCATTTTTCGGAATTTCATATTCCTTACCATTCTCAATAAATTTTGTATTTTCCTTGAAGTGATAGCACTTCACAGATAATTCTTGACAATCCATGAAAGTTATTACGTCGTTAAGTTTACATGGTACGCGATTGTGTGCAGTACATTTTCTGCTATTCTCTATCACTACCGATTTTTCTGGTATTTCGAATTTTACACCTACAATTCTAAACTCTGGTATTGTAATTTCTCCCGCAGTAGTTCGTTGCATACGTTTTTGCGCTGAAATCACAGCATAAACTAGAACCCCTAAAATCACCACGACAAGAAAGCCAGTAAAGAACAAATGTTTCATTTTCGAAAAACTATACTATAATATATCTTTATTAAAGAAGCTAAACACTGACGAATCCTTCTCCAATATATTTTTTACAACAATTGAAGAATGTAATTCAATTGTAAGTTAGTGAGAGGCTTTTGCCGTGTTTTCAGCGCCTGCTCAATGCAGACAATTTTTCTGTTTACTGGAGATTCTCGTGCTTGGTATGAGGTATAAAGTAGTACCATGGACTGGCCTGTTTGTTATTATGTTTAATCACTTCACTGTTTGTATTTATAGTTACTCCCTTAAAGCTCAATGTTAACAATATGAAAGCCATGTTCGACTTCGTAGAGAGTTGAGTAATAGGTACTTTGTTTCCAAGATTACACAGAAATTTTGCAGAAATAGGAAGTTGAGTGAGAGTTCACGTTACAGGATATGTCTCGACCAATCTTCAACTTTGTTGAGAGTTAATTGCCGAGTTTTGGGGTCCCTATAAGCACTGTCAGTACATCTGAACTCTTTTAGAGTTGATTGTAAAATTTTAGGGCACATATGAGGACTCTAATGCAGATCTCAACTTGTTTAAAGAGTTGAGCCCTTATGTGTACCCCGAAACTCAACAATCCACTCTCAAAAAGAGTTGAGAGTGGCGTCAGAGTACCTATATGCACCAGAAAACTCCAAAATCAACTGTAGAAAAGTTGAAAATTGGACGACAGATATATTAGAACGTGAACTCTCCGTCAGCTTTCCATTTCCTCTCTAATCTTGGAAACCAATAGACCCAATTGATCAAACTCTCAGAATTCGCATAATTGTCATTGCGTGATGTGCACCATTTCCCAGATGTTATGTCAATTTCACGAATATGTTGGAAATACACATAACCATTTATTTTGTCAGAATTATACGAATATTTTGTTTGTATATTTGTGTTTCGAGGCTTCCTGACGTTTCCGATTTCATTAGTTACTCATGCTGCATTAGAGTTGTCATGGTTGTAGTAGTTCCCGAGAATATTTAAGAATCCATGAAGCTAATCAGGGCTCACAGCAGAGTAGGTAAATGTAAACTTATTCAGCCTAGATTCGGCCCCCTTCTTCCTTCTTCATAATTGGGTACTATGCGATGAAATTCACGCCAAACACGTTCCACGTTTTGAATATGCCCTGGAATATACCATTATTGCGGTTCATGTGGTAGAACCTGTCGTTTACAGGTACGTGTTTGTATCCACGCAGTGCCATACCTATATATCCTGACTACCAGAGTGTGTTAATTCTGGAGCGTTGTTTAACTTACTGTTCAAATTTCGAGATAAGTGCTTCGACACACCACACACACACACACACACACACACACAGAGAGGAGAAGGCGACGTGGAAGCCAAACCCTAGGCCGAACGCGCTTATTGTCCGCCTTAAAGATAAGGCGAACTATGCAGAGATCCTCAGTCGCGTTAAGAAGGATGGTACCTGCAATCAGTCCAGAGAATACGTCGAAAGGATTCGACGTACAGAGACTGTGAAATGCTGATCATCCTGAGCAGGGAAACAACTGATGGAGCCCCCCAGCTGAGATCAGCCATTGCTGGCCTCCTCAAAGAGGAGGCTGTGGTGCTCAGCAAGGAGCCACTCGAAAATCTCGCGATTAAAGATCTGGATGAAGATACATCGAAGGAAGACGTCCTCGAAGCTCTACAAACAGTAGCCGGTGAGGAGCACGGCATAGCTCCTGAAGCCGTCAAGTCTTTACGGGCTGCATATGGAGGAACAAGGACGGCGGCAGTGACACTCACAGCATCTGTTGCGAAGAACATCCTGGCAGAGCACGGAAAGATCAAGATAGGCTGGGTCAACTGCCGTATCAGGAGAGTGGAGAGACCGATGAAGTGTTTCAATTGCTGGCACTGTGGGCATCTCTCCACGAAGTGCACGAGTGCAGTCGACCGATCCAGAGTCTGCATTAAATGTGCAGACGATGGGCACAAAGCCGAGGAGTGCAAGAAGAAGGAGCTACGGTGTGCCCTGTGCACTGAGAATGGTAACTTGGAGAACTGTCCCCACGTTGCTGGCAGCACCAGGTGCCCAGCATACAAGGATGCATTCCATAAGCCCACAAATAAAAAGCGATAAGAAGCAAAGAAACTTCAAGGTGTTACAGCTCAACATCAATCACTGGGAGGACGCTCACGATTTGCTCATGCAAACGGTGCGTGAGCTGAAGCCTGACCTTGTCATGATCTCGGAGCCATATCGACATCTTGGCACTCAATCCTGGATTACTGACGCCAGTGGGACGACTGTAATCTGGGCTTGTGGGAATCGTTCTTTTCAAAATATCACAAGAGATAGCGCACAGGAGGGCTTCATACGGGCCAAGAGAGACGGCATTCATTTCTACAACTGCTACGTCCCGCCAAGTCTTACCTTTGATGAGTTCACAGACTTCCTCGATAGACTGACCGAGGATGTGAAGGAGCATTTTCCCGTGACAATAGCAGGGGACTTCAACGCCTGGGCAATCGATTGGGGAAGTAAGAAAACGAACCCCAGAGGACAAACCCTACTGGAGGCAATGTCATCGTTGGACGTGGTTCTGTTAAACAGTGGCGAGGAACCGACCTTTGTGAGGGGAGAGAAAAGCTCAATTGTCGATCTTACCTTCATGAGTAGCACTCTCGCTAAGAGAAACTACTCATGGAGAGTGAGTGATATATACACGGCTAGTGACCACCGAGCCATACTCTGGGAGATATTCTCCAACCAGAAGGTCGCAGTAACAGCCAAGAAAACCAACAGCGTTGGCTGGAGAGTGGGCACCTTCGACCCGGGCTCATTTTCGGTAGCATTATATGACCACCCAATTGCTGGTGTAAATGCGACTGCGAAGGCGCTGAACATCATGAGGAAGGTGAGTAAAGCCTGCGACGCAACAATGACGAGGAAGCGGACCACGAATCGAGATCCACCGGTGTACTGGTGGAATGAGACCATCGCTGTGTTGCGGAAGGAGTGTAATGCAGCCAGGAGGTCATCTGAACGTCATAGGGAAAGGCTTAACTTCAAGGAGTTGGAGATGAAGTACAGAAAGGCAAGGCGGAAGCTCAGCAAAGCCATCAAGCACAGCAAGAGACAGTGTTGGAGTGAACTCTTGGCTGAAGTAGAGAATGACCCATGGGGGAGGCCCTACAAGGTGGTGATGACACAACTCAAGAGTTAATCAATGCCATCGCCATCGTGTTCGGTGCTCCTGAACAGAATTGTGGAGACGCTGTTCCCAAGTCAACCGGAATTTCGCCGAAACTCTGAACAATGGGAAGGAGGAATAATCCCGAAGATCACCAGAGAAGAGCTGATGGAGGCCTGCAAGAGAGTGGGAAACTCCAAAGCTCCAGGGCTGGATGGAATCCCGAACATTGCGCTGAAACTGGCCATTAACACGATGCCAGAGCACAACGAGTGCCTCAGAGAGGGCATCTTTCCTGCTATGTGGAAGCAGCAGAGGCTGGTATTGCTCCTAAAAGCGAATAAACCACCGGACGAACCTTCATCGTACCGTCCTCTTTGCATGCTCGATACTGCTGGCAAGATTCTCGAGCGCCTCATCCACCAGAGGATAGACGCTGCCGTGGAACCTGCGCTTGTTGGAAACCAATATGGTTTCCGGAAAAGTCGGTCCACAGTTGATGCCATCAACCTTGCTGTCGAAACCGCAAGGAAAGCGATTGCAGGGGAACGATGGCTGAATGGCACCAAGGAGTATTGCCTGGGGGTGACGCTGGACATCAAGAACGCCTTCAACTCAGCTCGATGGGACTGCATTATGGAGGCTCATGCCAGACTAAACGTATTAGGCTACTTGCAGAGGATGGTCAGTAGCTATTTTAGCAGAAGGGTCCTGAAGTATGACACGGAGACTGGGCCCAAAAAGTACAAAGTGACAGGAGGAGTACCTCAAGGTTCAGTCCTGGATCCCCTCTTGTGGAACATCATATATGATGGGCTGCTGAAGCTGAAACTTCCCCAGCGAACCAAGCTTGTGGCAGTCGCAGATGACGTGGCCGTGGTCATCGTCAGGAAACATCTGGAGGACATGAAGCGTGTCTTCAGTATAACCTTCGAGAAGATCCGCTGCTGGATGGATTCCGTTGGACTGAGCCTAGCGGAAGAGAAGACGGAAGCCGTATTGATCACCTGCAGGAAGAAGATCGAGACGATTACGCTGCAAGTCAGGTGTTGTGAAATCACCTCCCAGCCACCCATACGATATCTGCAGGTGATGATCCGATGCGCGACTGAACTTCAAGCAGCAAGCGGAGTACGTGGAAGCCAAGGCATCTGGTGTGAGATCCACCTTGTCATGCCTTATGCCAAACATCGAGGAACCCAAGCAGAGAAGAGGAGCACTTTTGTCTTCAGTGATTACTTCGGTCCGCACATATGGGGAAATGTCCTACAACTGCAGGAAGCATGACGTAAGATCGCACCAGTGTACCGACTCAGTGCGCTTAGAGTTGCGAGCGCATACCGGACTGTTTCTGAGGACGTAGCGTGTGTCATCGCGGGACTGTTGCCAATAGAAATTTTGGCCGAGGACCGGAGAGCCCTATATGCGCGCAGAGAGAGAGAGAGAGAGAGAGGGAGAGGAGTCTCCCCTGCCATCCTTGAAGCTGCCTGGGCAGCAGGGCAGGAGGCTGTTTTAAGAGAAGAAAAAGAAAAAAACCCAGGCAGGGAGCAGCGAACGGTCCCTACAGCCAGCCCACTGCAAGACGGAGACGAAGAAGCAACAACGCCGGACCTCCAGGAGGTCAGCAACACGACCTGGTGCGCTGAATGTACGGCTTACGGAGAAGGCGCAGTTCTATGCCATTCTCAGGATTCCTCAGGAGCAGGCTGACTGCGTCGATAAGGTCCTGCGTACGACCAATGGAGATCTGCAGCTCACAATGAAAAGGAGAACAGCAGACGGACTACCCCACTAGTGTGCGACGATTGTAAGGCTTCTTCGAGAAAACGCGAGGATGATACGCAAACGGTCGACGGAAGACCTCGACATCAAGGATCGTGATGATGTCACAACGACGAAGGGAGTGCTATCGGCGTTACCGCCGTGTGGCCAGAGTGGAGAGACCAGTTAAGTCACTGATCTCTATATAACTGGATAGACTATCCCTATGCCTCCACTACGCCGACACTGAGGCAGTACTGTAGGACAAGCAGCGCCTCAGAATAGTAGCTCGAGTACTACAGTGCCCTTGACTGCACATGCGCATCACCCAATGGAGGGTGATCACGGACAAACATGCTTCTCCCTTTCCACTGACAACTGCGCTGAGCATGCGCACTTGATAGAACTTTAGTTCCCGGACTACTATTCGGAGGCGCTGATTGACTTTCAAATCGGCCTCACCAGGGCTATACGCGATAGTCTATCCAGTTATATAGAGATCAGTGAGTTAAGTGCGTCGAGTGTTGGCACTATTGCTGTCTGGCATCAACTATAAGAATAAAGGAGATCGATCGATGTTGTGTAACAAGTGCGTTGAGCCTGGCCACAACATTGCTGAATGTGAGAAGATCCGCCCACTGTGCCCTGTGCATCGAAGAGGGAGACAACAACAACACAAACTGTGCCTATATCAAGGGACAAGCCGTCGTGGAGGCCATGGCGTCATTGAACCTAGTTTTACTCAACATCGGTGATGAAGCAACCATCATGAGAGGGGAGAAAAGCTCAATCGTTGATTTCACCTTCGTGAGTGGTAGCCTTGCACGATGACACTGCACATGGTCAATGACAGAGACCTATACAGGGAGCGACCACCTTGCGACACTCTGGGAGGTAATCATCGACCACAGTCGCAGAACCGCACCCAAGAAGACAAACGCAGTAGGCCAGAAAGTGAGTTTTTCAATTATAGCACATGCCTAGTGGCCCTCGATGATTGCCCGATCAGCGACAGTAGCCACTGAGATGGCAGTGAACATCATGGGGAGACTCACGGAAGCCTGCGACGTTACCATGCCCAGGGACCAAGCCAAAAAACGGCGGCCACCGGTGTATTGGTGGAATGATACGATCGCTAGTCTGCGGAAGGAATACAACAAAGCAGGAACACCATCTCAAAGGGTTCGGAAGAAGCCACACTTCGAGGAATTGGAGATGAAATACAAGATGTCGCGCTGCAAGCTGAATAATGCCATCAAGAGCAGTAAAGCTCATTCGTGGAATGAGTTGACTCAAAAGCTGGAAACCTACCCGTTGGCTAGGGATACGCGATACGGTCCGATATATCGAAAGGTCCGATATTTGATATCGATATATCGATATTTTGCAGCCGATATTTTCGCTGGCCGATATATCGATTCCCGATTTTTTTCTGCAAATATCGTTAAACCAATTATGATAGGAGATTTTTTTTTGAAAGATTTTTCAATTTTCTAAATTCATAGTTATTGAATTTTTAGTTTTCATGCAGAGATTATAGGGGAGATTGCTAGGGCTTATGGAAAGGCTTGGGCGAGTGATTCATTGCGGCGGCTACGGAACTACGCCCAGAGAGCCCGTACGTGTAAGTAAAACAGGTCGCGAGCCCGTGAGTGTCGATAATTTTCAGAGTCCGTGCGTGTTGATAATGTTCAGAGTCCGTGAGTATGGATAAGACAGAACGCGAGCCCGTGAGTGTCGATAATTCGAGGCGGTCGTGAGTATCAGAAAGGTAGGGTACTTATCGAAATGACGATGACGTCCGAAAACGAACGAAAACATCCGATGTACCGGAGAGTGGGGGTATGATGGAGACACAACCGATGGACGGAATGAAAAAGCGAGTTAACGTTCATAAATACACCATTTGTTATAAAAATTGCGAAAAAATTGTCTCGCAAATATATATTCAAACGATTGGGAATCGTCTGAAACGTCGAGATTTATTAGTCCCTCGGAACTTTTTTTTTAAACGGCTCTATTTTTGTTAGCAAATTGAAAAATGACTAAACAAATTCGGGAAAAATTGTCTCGCAAATGTATACTCAAACGATTGAAAATCGTCTGAAACGTGGAGATTAATTAGTCCCTCGGAACTTTTTTTTTGAAACGATTTCTTTTTTGTTAACAAATTCAAAAATGATGAAACAAATTCGGGAAAAATTGTCTCGCAAAAGTATACTCAACCGATTGAGAATCGTCTGAAATGTGGAGATTTATTGGTCCCTCCGAACTTTTTTTTTAACGGCTCTATTTTTGTTAACAAATTGAAAAATGCTAAACAAATTCGGGAAAAATTATCTCGCAAATGTATACTCAAACGATTGAGAATCGTCTGAAATGTGGAGATTAATTAGTCCCTCGGAACTTTTTTTTTAAACGATTTCTTTTTTGTTAACAAATT